TATGTCTAGAATTGTTGTGCTATGCTTTTCTAGCAGCAAATAAATGAAAAAAAAAAAACAAAAAACACTACTGGCTCTATCAAATCAGTAACATGTATTCTAAATTTGAAAATAAAAGTTTTATATTTTTTTCCGGGTGTTGTAGGTGTCCAGACATGCAGGTGTTCAAAGTAATAAGGTCTCCACTGTGGGTATAAATTTTAATCTATACTTGCAGCTAGTTTTTTTTTTTATTTTCATGCTGGCTTGGGCATAATTATCTAAGAGGTTGATACACCATCCTCTATCTTGTTATTAATTTTGGCATACTTAAAAATTGGTTTTGCATGTTTATTTTGAGGCCATTTTTATGGTTTTAAAAGACGAGAAGTAACGCAATTTTATGTAGGTTATATAGGTAGATGTTTGACTTTCAACCATCAATTCTACTCTTGAATCTAATACCGATATCAATCCAATCTATTGCCAATGACAATTTTATACTGCACTCATGAAACGACAGTTAGGAATTAGGTTATAATTGGGATCGGTTTATAATACTTTGCATTGACAAGTTACACTAATATGCATCTATCAGAACAATGTGGAACCATTATGTCGCTAGTGTTGCTAGCCGAGAGTGCGAAAAGTCTCAATTATAATATCGATCTATTGGAATTTATTTCAAGGTTTACACAGGTTACAATAGTCTTAATTCTCGTTTTTTAAAACCCATCAATCATGCAACGCGAAAGTTTTGAAGCATATTATTGAGGAGTCCAAAAAAGTGAAATTAAAAAAAAAATGTCAAAATTAACATTATGAATAATAATGATCTCTAAATTACCTAATTATCAGAAAATAAAGGAATAAAGAAAAAAAACTTTATTGTCCACTTCTCAGGGCTTCTCAATCAAAAGACACCTCTCATGGTTTTTTCTCTACATTTTTGCTTATGGCAAGCTATGGTGCGAATCTGCCTACTGCTTAATACTGCTTAGTTATGCTGCCACTGACATGTTTTTTTTTAATTCCTATGGGATTGGATGATGGGGTTATGTGCGGGTGACAACTGGAACTCTGGTCATATTTATATCACAATCAGAGAATAAAACACGGTGGCAATAAAGCACTGGTTATTTGATTAGAATTATTTTGTTTAATACAGCTACCATTAGTATGCGTGCGACTGGCAACACTCGAAGATTCGTAGCGGAATTAAACAAAATAATTGTAATCAAATAACCAGTAATATAGAATTATTTAATATTTAAAGACCTAATTTAGTAAATTACTGATAATAAAAAACAATAATTGATCCAGAAACCTGACGAGCCAAACAGTAGCATGTTAGGAATTTTGGGTCCTAGGCCCCATTGCTAGCAATGTACCCTAACAGGTCAATCTTCACGCGGTTCCCCCTGGAAACCATCATGGTTAATTCCGGGTAAATTCGATGAGCCAACTGACTTGCTTTCATCCTCACCCATCATCCTTCACTGGTGCCCTGTCATCGTATACCGATAGCGCAGGCGGGGTTACTATTCCACTTTCACGGTCTAACCTAAGTGCATATGGGGGGTAAGGGATTGTTAATAATGGAAACTGAGAATCCCATTGCTAGCAAACCAGGTCGATCTTCTCGCGGTTCCCCCTGGAAACTATCATGGTTAATTCCAGATGAATTCATCATGATGGGCTAACTGGCCCGTTGTCATTCTCATCTATCACCCTTAACTGGTGCTCCGGTAGCATATCCCGTTAGCACAGGCGGGGTTACCATACCATTTTCAACCAGCAAAAAAAAAATGTGCATGTATTTGACGGATCATCTTCGAATGCAGTGGTGTTGCACGTGGCTTTGCTCGTATAATGACGGTTCGGGATTCGATTCTTGTTTCGGTTACTGATTTTTGTTTTTAATATATAAGAAATATGTTCTACGCATTGTAGCATGATGTGATGTGAATGACACTTGGCGATATAATTAGCGCCCTATACGAGGTCTGTCCGGAAAGTTCGTATAAAAGTGTTCTGGAATGCGAGAAAGAGGAGTGGGGAGGCCAGGTAAGCGCAGGACCCCTTCCTTATGTCCCTAACAATGCTTCAGTTCTGGTCTGACCGCCGTGCGGTGCGAACTGGCTTGTCACGCCATCTGTGAAGTTACCTCTTAACGAAACCCCGTCGGCATGGAGCCCGCTTCCGTTGAAGAGCAGCGCGTCGTAATCAAGTTTCTCTCGAAACTCGGCAAGAATGGCCGTGAAATTTTTGCCGATCTCAGAACAGTTTATGGGGATGATGCTGTGAAGGAACCAACCGTCCACAAGTGGCTAAAAAGATTCAGAGAGGGCCGAGACAATGTTGATTGTTTTTTTCGATGTTCGGGGGATTGTCCATCAAGAATTCGTCCCTCCAGGCCAGACAGTTGATGGAAAATTCTACGTCGATGTGCTCAGACGCCTCAAAGCTCGTGTGGTACGAGTTCGTCCAGAATATATAACGACAATGCCCCTGCCCACACCTCTCTTGTTGTCCGTGAGTTTTTGAGTAAAAATTCCATTACGGTGACCGAACACCCCCCCCTATTCGCCGGATTTGGCCCCGTGTGACTTCTTCTTGTTCCCATTGGTACTGGGGGCGGCATTTGGGGGACATAAATGAGATAAAAAAAGCTACGACGGGGCAGCTGAGAAACCTACAACCAGAGGACTTTCAAGGAGCCTTCTCACAGTGGAAACGGCGTTGGCACAAGTGCATTATGTCACAGGGGGAGTACTTTGAAGGGGATAAAATTGATTTACCTGAATAATTGTAAAATAAAATTTTTAAAACTTTTATACGTACTTTCCGGACAAACCTCGTAAAGGGAGTGTTCTACTGGGTAAACGGAACATTTTCGTCTAAAAGCCTCCCATACTACACAACTTTAATCACCGCTGGGGGGGGGGGGGGGCATTGTTAGTAATGGGGTCTAAAACCGCCATTGCTAACAATATATCTTGTCAGGTCGATGTCCACGCAGTTTTACCTGGAAATTAAAGGGTTTTTTTTTTAATTTGTCACGTTGGGTCCACTGACTTGCTAATTTTTTTTATACAACTTAGAATGGCAAACAAGCTGACGGCCCACCTGATGGAAAGTGGTAACCGTCGCCTATAGACATGAGCAGTACCATGGACATAACAGAGTATACTGTTTCGCCCATGATACCCCCCATGCGTTGCTGTTCCTGAGGGCTCAGGTGTTATTCCTCTGTACCCAGTAAATTCACTGACAAATCCCACCCTTCAAACCAGAGGGAGATTTTGTACAAAAGTCGTTTGCTTGGGTACCTCTGTCCCATTCGTATTTCAACCATAAAGCAGTTGTGTTTACATGGCTATGTTTCGGTTTGATGGATGGGATATGGCGTAAATTTACAGGGTACAGAGGAATAACACCTGAGTCCTCAGGAATGGCAACGCATGGGGGGTATCATGGGCGAAACAGTATACTCTGTTAGTCCATGATACTGCTCATGACTATAGGCGACGGTTATCACTTTCCATCAGGTGGGCCGTCAGCTTGTTTGCTAATTCTAAGTTGTATAAAAAAAAACCGAAACACAGCCATGCAAATACGACTGCTTCACGGTAGAAACACGAATTTGACAGAGGTGCCCAAGCGAACTTTTGTACAAGGTCTCACTCTGGGATATGATAGATAAATAAATAATTTATTTGCATTATTTACAGCACACAAACAGCAAAAGACACAAATGCAAAGTGAAAAAAGATTAAAAAAAGATACATGTACAAAAAAATAAAAAAACAAAATCAGAATGCATAAAATTAGTAACAATTTTTTTTTCTTCATGCGTGTGCCACAGTAATACAAAATGGCCACAACTCAGCTTTTTGCTTTGCCCAAAAAAGAGCAAAACACTGATATTCTGTTGTAGCCAAAGGTGAGCCGCGAAATACTACTGAAAAAATAATTATAAAAAAATAAAAAAAATATAGTATAGATAAAATACATAGTGTGCGTTCGTTATATTCGCTATTTAGAAGAAGGGTAGTCAGAAGTCAATTTCTATCAGTTTCAAGCACTCAAAACATAATGAATACCTAAATTATACATACATACATACATACATATATGACAATGTTCTATGTAACTGTGGTCTTATGAGGGGCTATTTGATTTATTATTGTTGATTATATTTTTTCTATTACAGCCGCCTATCATTGGAGAAAGTGGCAAAAACAAATCCGTCTAATACTGCACAAGTGTAAGTATTGTTGCTAACTTTTTATCTTTTTTTTTATTATGCGTGGATTTCAGAAATAGGAAAAATAATAAAATACACCATTTTTAGATATCGTATCGGAATATAATATATATACGTAATACTGGCCTTTTTGGAGGGGGGGGAAGGGATTGTTAGCAATGGAGTTTGACAGTTCCCTTGCTAACAATATGCCCTATTAGGTCGACCTCCACGTGGTGCCCCTGGCAACCATCGTGACCAATTCTTTTTGAATTTGTCACGATGGGCTATCTGACCTGCTTCATCCTCACCGTCTTTCACTGGTGCTCCGCCGGTGTATACCGATATAGCGAGTGGGGTTACCATTCCATTATCATTCATTAAAAAAAATACTAGCCTTCTCCCGCGGCGTTGCCCGCTTCTAAGTAGTTCTCGTATATCGTTCCCATTGCAACGCTTTATAAATTCGGTCTTTAATTTGTATTATATACTTAAATGTTAATTACGTACCTAATACATTCATAAAGTTTCAGCAAATTCAACTGATCCGTTATTTTATAGCATTTTATATGTGATTCTTTAGATTAGGTACGAATTACTTTTAAAAGCTAGTGAGACTCCCTTTTGTTTGTAGTGAAAACAAGGACGTCCTGGACAAATTGTCGCAGGAATTTATGAAGATGTCGTCGCAAACGATTTTGGACTTTCTACACGACGAGTTTAGGTCCACTCTAGTGTTCGAAGGTGTGAAACCTCTGGAGGACCTGTTCCTCCAAAGCGTAACCACGTCCACCAAGCCCATTTTCCAAGAACACGAGAAGTTACTGGATTATTTGGAGAAGAGTAAACCGACCCGGTAGTTTGATATCAAAATCGAAGTCGGTCGACTGAATAGGATTACCAAATTGAAGTAAGTAATTTAGTACATAGGTTTTATTTTATACAACTTAGAATGGCAAACAAGCCGACGGCCCACCTGATGGAAACTGGTAACCGTCGCCTATAGACATGAGCAGTACCATGGACATAACAGAGTATACTGTTTCGCCCATAATACCCCCCATGCGTTGCCATACCTGAGGACTCAGGTGTTGTACCTCTGTACCCAGTAAATTCACGCCATATCCCACCCTTCAAACCGAAACACAGCCATGCAAACACAACTGATGATGCATGATGGACTAAGTCGTTGAGTTCCCTAAAATATGAATGAATATTTGAATGAAAACTCTTTATTGTTCCCTCCCCTTTCCCACATAAATCCCTTATTCCTCTCATTTACCAATTTCCTTTACGCATTTACAACGTTCCCTTCCTTTTTTCCTCAATCCTTACCTCCATACCGTAGGTGGCGGAAACCATCAACAAATACTTTTCCAAAGAGGGTTGATGTCAGGCAGGCGGCCGGTCGTAAAACTATCAAATCTTTATGTAATACTAGCAGCCCGCCCCGGCTTCGCACGGATGGATATTTTTACATTTTAAAAAGTGGCCATTAAGGCTGCACACGCGACGGAAGCTTAAAAATGAAGTAACTTCTCCCGTTTTCCCAACATTTCCCTTCACTGCTCTGCTCCTATTGGTCGTAGCGTGATAAAAAGTATACTATAGTAGAGTAGTTTTTGTTTCTATAACGAACATACAGACAGACAGACAAAAATTTTACTGATTACATTTTTGGCATCAGTATCGATCCCTAATCACCCCCTGATAGTTATTTTAGAAATATATTTCATGTACAGAATTGACTTCTCTACAGATTTAATATAAGTATAGATATAAAAAACATATTGCGCCGACCACAAGGAACAATTGGGAGAAGGCTAGGAAGATGGTACTAAATTAATTTGTTGTTTCAGGAACGTGATGTTCTTGAAAGTACCCAAATTCGATAGTGAATGTATCAAGGAGAATTTGGATAAGTGAGTATCATGTTAAACCTTCAATATATTTTTTTTAAATTGCCACTTTGATTAGTTTAGTTCGAATCTTAAAAGCTGAATTAGAAATAGTTTTTCCTAATCGATTTTGCTCAAATTTCTCAAGACGCCTTTAATTCTAATGACATTGCAAAATCATCATCATCATCATCATTATCATATCAGCCGTTGACTGTTCACTGCTGTCCATCCATCGCCCTCCCTTAGCAGAAAGTTGGGCAGCAGTGTCTCTCTTAAAAACACCATCAAAAGCCTAACTGCGGTTGCCAATCCGCCTACCAGAGGGGGGCAAAGGGATTGTTAGTAATGGAGACTGAGAATCCTATTGCTAGCAATATACCCAACCAAGTCGACCTCTTCGCGTTTCTCCCTGGAAACTATCATAGTTAATTCCTGATGAATTCATCATGATGGGCTAACTGGCCTGTTTTCATTCTTATCTATTACTGGTGCTCCGTCAGCGTATCCGGTTAGCGCAGGCGGGGTTACCATACCATTTTCACCCATCAAAAAAAAAAACCCGCCTACCAAGCGTGGCAACTACAAAATCCCCCTTATGTGGAAGGCTATGTTCAACAGTGGACAGTTTTTTTTATATAGGTGATAATGAAATAGTAACCCCACCCGCGCTATAGTATAGGGCGCTATCAGTATACACCGGCGGGGCACCAGTGAAGGATGATAGATGAGGATGAAACAGGTCAGTTCAGGTCAGGTCTGTGGTGTAAAACCAACAGATACATGTAGACCATTGTTTAAAAAATTAAAAATATTAACACTTACATCCATGTATATTTATGAAGTAGGAATATTTGTTAAACAAAACCCACAATTTTTTACAAAGCTTTCGAATATGAATAAAGTCACATCAAGAGATCCCACAATGTTGAAACTGCCCATCTGCAGTACCACACTGCATCAACGAAACTGTGATATTAATGACGATTAAAATATATAATAAAATACCAAAATCTATAAGAGAACTACCAGTAAGTCACTTTAAATTACGGTTAAAAAAATGGTTACTGGAATGCAATTTTTATTCAATAAATGACTTTTAAAAAAATTAAATGTATGTATGTAAATGTATAATTCAGTCGTATTGTATGCTATTTGTTATATTTTTACTTGTTATGTATTTGTTTGTATTTGTATTTGTTTAGTTCTGTTACCTTTGGCATGTGTGCGGCTGCCAATTTTTATAGATTGACTCCTACTAGGCTATTAGTATACGTAAGCTACTAAAAAGTAATTAGCATGTGCTGAATTAAAAATTTGCATGCCTTTAGATAAGGCGAAATGTGTAGCTTAATAATATTTAAGATCAATAGTACCACATTTCGAGCAAATAAATAAATTATTATTATTAAATTATAAATTATTATAAGAGATGACCCCTCAAATAGACTCCATTATAAAAATAAGTTTTTACAAATGTTTCAAAAAAGGTTTGTTCTTTTAGATTCAAAATGTTGGCTTGCTCTGGTCCTTTGGCGCCGGATATCAGCCGTCCAATGCAAAGTGTCCCCGACCACAGACAGCTGGGGGATCGAAAAACCCAATTATTGGAAGCTCTAGCGGTGCCGGTCGAAAGCGATAAAGCTAAGAAGTGAGTGTGTCTTATCTTCCAACGATCACAGGTTCGATCCCCGTACAATACGAAAAAGTAAGTAGAAATTTCTATCAGTTGTCTGTAGCCCTGCCTGCACTATCGGTATATGCTGATGGGGCACCAGTTTGCCCACCCTGATGGATTCCTCAAGAATTAACAACAATACATTCCGGAAAGCATCGCGTGGAGCTCGCATAGCCCGAATCAAGCATGCTGATATGGCAATGGGCTGGTTACATAGCTCGAAGAACTGACATTCAGTGAGAGAAAAAAAGTCCTTGAACAGCAACACTAACGGCAAATGCAGTATAGGAGAACAAACCAGATTAAGTGATAATCTCAAATGTATTGCAGGGAGTCAGTGGATGGAGGTGGCTCAGGACCGTTCCTTATGGCAGTCTATGGGGGAGGCCTATGTTCAGCAGAGGTCAAATAAAGGTTGATACGATAATAATGAACAAGGATTAATTTTAAAATTTCGCGTTGTTTACACATACCAGAAGGAGACTTTGTACAAAAGTTGTTTGCTTGGGCTCCTCTGTCCCATTCGTGTTTCTACCGTGAAGCAGTTGTTTGCATGGCTGTGTTTCGGTTTGAAGGGTGGGGTATGGCGTGAATTTACAGGGTACAAAGGAATAACACCTGAGTCCTCAGGAATGGCAACGCATGGGGGGTATCATGGGCGAAACAGTATACTCTGTTATGTCCATGGTACTGCTCATGTCTATAGGCGACGGTTACCACTTTCCATCAGGTGGGCCGTCAGCTTGTTTGCCATTCTAAGTTGTATTTTAAATACACAATCGAGACTTAACGCGATGGAAAACCCTTGCAGGTAAATGGTACCTACATACCTGCTTCTTTATTGCCGAAGTTTCGACGTGGATTACATCACGTCTTGGTCACGATAGGACTGAAGTAAGCGATGTCTTGGTCAGACAAAGGTTTTCCATCTTTTTAAGTCCTGATTATTATCCTGATATTTAAAATAGACGAATCAAGAACTTTCCAAATCGGTGACAGATATTAAAAAAAATCAACTAAAATAAGAATCTCCTTCTTTTTTAACATCGGTTAAAAATTTGTTCTATTGTCGTAGAATGATGCAGTCCATGGGCTGGAATGGTGGCCCTTTAGGCATTCGTGGAGAGGGCATCACAGAGCCCATCATGCCTCATCTTAATCATGTAAGTTTATTTTATCTTCACGCCAAGTTTCATGCGGGTAGCCAGAGTATCGAGCGCTAAGTCCACTATCTTTAGATACATCTCTTGCTTCCTTCATAACTCATATACATACATATATGAGCATACGGTCCGCCTGATAGTAAACGGTTACCATAGTCTCTGGTCTGTATCACCAGGGATGCCACGTGCGCGTTACCAACTCTTAGAAACCTTATTACATCCCTTTTCAAGAACCCCACGTTATAGTCTCAAGGGAAACCCTTGGCAAGGTCTTTTTTTATGGAAGATAATGAAATGGCAACCCCGCCCGCGCCATCGGATATATTGATTGGGCACCAGTGAGGGATGATAAATGAGAATGAAAGTTTTTTTTTTTGATGGGTGAAAATGGTATGGTAACCCCGCCTGCGCTAACGGGATACGCTGGCGGAGCACCAATGAAGGGTGATAGATGAGAATGAAAACAGGCCAGTTAGCCCATCATGATGAATTCATCAGGAATGAACCATGATAGTTTACAGGGAGAACCGCGAGGAAGTCGACCTGGTTGGGTATATTGCTAGCAATAGGACTGATAATCCGCATTACTAACAAACGAAGACTTGAATACCACTCATACGAAGTCACGGGTCAAGACTAGTTTAATATATTTCTATATTCACGAAATTTTGCAGAAATCCGGCGCCGGACTTGGCCATGTGCCAGCCAAAAAGAACACTCCAACAACTAGGTCAACAGCCAAAACTCAGCTGAAAACACAAGAAACTCAGCCACCGGACGTAGCGTCGAATGGTCACGAGCTTACGAACTTAAGTTATACAATGCAAAATTCCAATGTAGAATTCCGCGCTAAAGTGTTGACCGCTCTACTGGATTTAGTCGAGAAGAGATCGGAAATTTATATTATGAGGTAATACTAATATACAAGTACTAATCAATACATATCGTCATAGTCGTAGAATACTGACGGATCTATATATGCAATATCGTCATAATCGTAGAATACTGACGGATTTATATATGTAATATCGTCATAGTCGTAGAATACTGACGGATCTATATATGTGATATCGTCATAGTCGTAGAATACTGACGGATCTATATATGTAATATCGTCATAGTCGTAGAATACTGACGGATCTATATATGTAATATCGTCATAGTCGTAGAATACTGACGGATCTATATATGTGATATCGTCATAGTCGTAGAATACTGACGGATCTATATATGTAATATCGTCATAGTCGTAGAATACTGACGGATCTATATATGTAATATTCGTCAGATCCGTCAGTATTCTACGACTATGGCGATATAATAAAAACGTAACTGGTCACCGTCTGTACATGGAAAATATAGAAGAAAAAACTATTATAAGGGGGGGGGGGGGGGGCTACATCAATCTAAATCAGGAGTTTTTTTTTTATACAACTTAGAATGGCAAACAAGCTGACGGCCCACCTGATGGAAAGTGGTAACCGTCGCCTGTAGACATGAGCAGTACTATGGACATAACAGAGTATACTGTTTCGCCCACGATACCCCCCATGTGTTGCCATTCCTGAGGACTCAGGTGTTATTCCTCTGTACCCTGTAAATTTACGCCATATCCCACCCTTCAAACCGAAACACAGCCTTGCAAACACAACTGCTTTACGGTAGAATCACGAATAGGACAGAGGTACATAAGCAATCGACTTTTGTACAAAGTCTCCCTCCCTCCCAAACTTATTTTGTCTACTGTCCACTTTGAGAATAAATGATTTTCTAGCGCCCCCATTTTTTTATCTACTTAAAAACCACTATTACTTCAAATTAAATGAATCAATTATTGTGTAAATTTATAATTTTTTTCCGGGTCTCTTACCGCCCCCCTTTAGGCCTGCAGAGCCCACAAGGGGGCGTTATCGCCCATTTTGGGAAAGGCTGGTCTAAAGAATCGCATGTAATATGCTATAAAATCAGTTGAATTGTCTGAAACTTCATGAAGGTAGGTTATATCTATCTATCTATCTATCTATCTATTTAAGAGCTGCGCTCTTGTCGGTGGAGCTCTTGCCACTCACTACGATTTTCAGCGAGTCTCTTCACCTCTTGATACGACACGACACCAACTCCTTCCTAGATCTGCCTGATGTAACTATGCCTCGGTCTTCATTCTCATCTATCACCCTTCACTGGTGCTCCGCCAGCGTATCCCGTTAGCGCAGGCGAGGTTACCATACCATTTTCATCTATCAAAAAAAAAAACTATGCCTCGGTCTCCCTCTTCCCCTCCTTCCTTCTATCTTACCGTCTATTATAATGTTCATAAGTTCGTCGTGTCGTATCAAGTGTCCCAACATTTTTTCCTTTCTGTCCTCAATAGTTCTAATAATTTGTCTTTTTTCCTTAACCCTAAGCAGGACCTCCTCATTGCTAAGTTTATATATCATATTTTAATTCATAGGATATTTTATATACCGAAACAGCTAGTATAATATATATGACAGGGGGGAAAGGGATTGTTAGTAATGGAGTTTGACAGCCCCATTGCTAGCAATATGCCCTATCAGGTCGACCTCTACGTGGTTCCCCCTGGAAACCATCGTGAACAATTCTTGTTGAATTTGTCACGATGGGCTAACTGACCTGCTTCATCCTCACCTATCATCCTTCACTGGTGCCCCGCCGGCGTATACCGATAGCACGGGTGGGGTTACCATTCCATTATCATCCATTAAAAAAAAATATATATATATATTCTTTATTGCACAAAAAACATACAGTAACAACAATAAGTTAATAACAATGTTAGCAAAGGCGAACTTATCTCTAAAAGAGATTTCTTCCAGTCAACCTAACGCAGTGGCATAGGAAGTAGTGAGTGGGCAGTAGTAGTGCAAGACAGAAATTTAAATAAATATTTACATAAATTATAAATAATTATATATATACACACATGCATTCACATATATACATACATACACATATATATACATATACACATACACATACATATACACACATACATACACACGTTAAATACAACATATAAATATCAAATACAAGAGAACACAATGATGACAGTCTTCTAATCATTTTTATATTTAAATTAAATTGGAAAGATAAAATGATTTTAATCTTTTTTTGAAGGAACTGCTAGACGGGCTATTCTGAATATTCACGGGAAGTTTATTCCACAGCTGTACAGCACGATATGCAAATGAGTTACCCATAAAATGGGTTTTACAGCAGGGAAGCTTCAGTACCCTGGACTGGTTCAGACAAAGACGTCTAGGTCTGGAAGGAGGAGGTAATAATTGGAACCGGGAACGAAGGTAGGAAGGAGAATTGGGATTATTAAGGATATTATATAGGACCGCTAGGACATGTGTCTCATGACGATGTCTAATTGGGAGCCACTTTAAACGAGTGCGGTATTCCGAGACATGATCATATTTTCGTAAGCTGAAAATAAACCTTATCGCTAAATTTTGCAACCGCTCAAGCTTATTTAGCAGCTCCTCAGTCACATCTAAGAAACAGACATCGGCATAATCCAGAATGGGAAGAAGAATAGATTGTGCAAGCATAATTTTGGTATTGAAAGGGAGAAAGTATTGGAGACGTTTGAGAGAGTGATATGAAAAGTACATCCGTCTACTAATGTCATTAATATGAGAGGTCCACGACAATGTACTATCCATAATAAGTCCTAAGTTTTTCACTTTATCAGTATAAGATATCTTAGTACCCTCGTATACCAATGGAGGAATCTGAGACCATTCCAACTTACACCTCAGCCTGCCACTACCGACAATCATAGCTTGAGATTTGGCTGGATTAACAATAAGACCAAATGATTTAGCCCAGGAGTGAATAGCCAGTAGATCATCGTTTAGAGCTGAAGTTGCCTGTGTAACCTCAGACAGCATAAAGTGACGATACAACTGCAGATCATCCGCATACAGATGGAAGGGAGAAGTAATGACTCGAGAAATATTATTAATAAAGATAGAAAATAATAAAGGGGAAAGTACACCGCCTTGAGGCACGCCAGCAGTTAATGAAGCCCAGTTCGATAAACCATCATTGGTTCTAACACACTGCTGGCGGCCGAAAAGAAAACAAGAGAACCATTCGATAACTGGAGTGGAAACGTTGACTGCACGAAGGGTGCTAAGGAGAACATCAAAATCAACCGAATTGAAAGCATTACTGAAATCCAACAAAACAATTGCAGTCAATTTTGTGCTATCCATAGCCCGACGTATGTCCTCTGTAATATTAAGAAGCGCTCCAGTAGTGCTATGAGAGGGTCGGAAGCCCGATTGAAAGGGGCATAAAAGGTTGTTGGTGGAAAGAAATTTAAATAATTGGCTGTGAACTATAGATTCTAAAACTTTTGAAAGAATGGGAAGAATAGATATGGGACGGTACTGGGAAAAGCTAGTCGGATTAGTAGATTTAGGAAGTGGTATGACGTAAGCCTTTTTCCATTGTGATGGGAAGACATTATGCATGAGAGAAAAGTTAATTATGTGAGTGAGCACAGGCAAAATAACATCCAACACGGGAAGGATCATATCAAGGCTCACATTATCGCTACCGATAGCTTTAGTAGATAATGAACGAATGGTTCTCTTGACAACATCTACAGTCACCAAGCTAAAAGTGAATGGAGGACAATCGGGTGGGACAAGATTAGAAAGATATGATATAGTATTTGCCTTAGTCACAGTACTGAGTGTAACAGAGGAGGACGAAAAATGATTATTTAGAGCATTGAGATCTAAACCGCTCTGACAATTTTCTGAGGACTTACCCACCCCCAGTGATTGGAGAAATTTCCAGATTTGGGTCTGAGAAAGGTTTTGAATAGTAGAATGAATGTATCGGCGTTTGGCATCCCTGCACATTCTGTTACAGATGTTCCGCAGTTTTTTATACGTGTCAAAGTTTACTTGTGATCTCTCATGTTTATATCTGCTTTTGGCCCTGTCACGCTTTGCCATACTTCTCTTAATAATAGGGGTAAGCCAAGGAGCAGGAGCATGCTTGATCCGTACCGGTCGGACTGGTGCATGAATGTTGTAAATTTTAAGCAACTCGCTGTTCAATATCCCCACCATGGTGTCGATACAAGAAGCCATCAACAAGGGAGACCAATCAATACTCCCCATATCCTCCCTCAAACGCTCAACATCCATATGCTTAAAATCGCGAAGTAAATGAGTCCTATTCCTGTTTTTAGGGGGACGCACTTTATAGGACAGATAAATTAAATCATGCTGTGAGAAAGGAGAACACATTTGTCCATGGGAGAATACTAAATTTGGTTGTGAAACTATGATTAAGTCAATAAGGGAAGGTCTGCTGTTGTGGAAGTAATGAGTAGGTTTAGGCATAGGCAAGACCTGGAGATCAAGGGCTGATGTTAAAGCAATAAGTTTGCCAGTCCTATGGTCATTTTTCAAAAGACATGTATTTAGATCACCCATAAGTATAACATGATCAAAAAGAGGAACCAAGTTATCTAGAGTATTTTCCAAGATATTAAAGTAATCAATCTTGTCATTAGGGCTATACAAGACACCAAGTAGGATTCTTTTGTGATGGAGAGATAGGGAGAGAAACAAATACTCCAGAGACCCAGAGAACTGCGGTTGCGATGTACACACTACTTCGGCAGAGATTTGGTTGCGTAGATAAATCCCCACACCTCCACCCCCAGACGTGATGCGATCGTTTCGAAAGAGTTTATACCCAGGTATTGTGCAGCTAGTGGAAGGAAGAGATGGTTTAAGCCAGGTCTCAGAAACTAAGATACAATCCACTAAGCCAGCACTGAAAGAGGTAAGAAGGTCATTATAATGAGCTAATATGCTTTGCGCATTTATATGTACAAGGGAAAATTGTTTGGAATAATTGTCGAAAACAGTCCGCAATTTATCTTCAAGAGGATCGCAATCAGATAAAGAGGAATTATGACTCGAAGCACTATCAAAATTATCGGAGGAATAGCAAGAAAAATAATCATCATTTATGGACATATATAAAAATAAATTTAAATAAAAATAAAAAATAAATAAAAACTTATTATAAAAAAAAAAAAAAAAATATTTGTAAAAATAACAAAAATTAATTACTTTTGCCTTAATTGCGTAGGTTGACTTGATAGGCTAAACCCACTTTACAATGAACAATAACGAACAAAATAACAGCTATAACAATATAATATAAAACAACTATAGCTGAAGAATAGCGGGCACCCAGTCTAAACTTAAACAACAATAGCTACTACAAATCAGTGATATACAGAAACGAAACGTTAAAGTATATTAAATATATACCATAGCCACAATTATTATAAGTAACTTTGACAGTGACATGAGAGTTCAGATTAATTTGTTTATCAATACTATAGTGACAATCAAACACTGATCACAATTATCTATCAAGTTGGGTAAATTAATATAATTTTAGAAATTGAGCAACATATTTTAAGGTACCCTAAAAAAAAAAAAAAATAATAAGAGAATAGTTAAGTGTGCCCAGTGACAAACCGACAAAATAGCAAAGTATTAAAATAGAAAATACTGCAACCTGTCTAAATTATAACGCGTTCTTTGGGTACTCAGCGATTAGCAGTTTCAATTCAGCCATTGAAACTATCTTCTTGCGATCTTTATTAGGCAGAAGAATAACTATAATGCCATCCGCAGACCAGCACTTCCCCACGCCGAAGTGATTACGAGCCGCAACAAATACATCTTGCCGTGCTTTTGTAAGGAACTCAGAAATAGATGTTTTGGAGCCTTTTAAAATAGTTTTAGCCCTCCATACCATGGATCGAAACCGCAGTGATGCAAACCGCACAATAATAGGACGGGCAGAATCCTTCTTAGAGCCGAGTCTGTGGCAAGATTCAATAACATCAGGACCCATACCTTTCAACTTCATTTTGTCGGTTAACACCTCCAACAGCTTCTTACAGATGTCCTCACCAGGAATCTCTTTTACACCATGGAAAAGCAAGGTCTTTCTGCGGGAGTGGGTATCTAGACGGTCTTGCCCAAGTTGAAGCAACTCCACCTGTGATTTTAGTAATCCAAGACACTTCCATATAAATGTTTTAAATGTAGCATAGTCGGCAGATAGACCCTTCACTGTGGTACCTGACGAAGTAGAGGCCTGCTGCTGTACGCCTTTCTCAAATTCTTCCATGCGGCTGTTGAACACAGATGATAGTTCATCCATGCTTTTTTTAAGTTGTTCAGCTGTGGTATCCATTGCAAAGTAAGTGATGAAAACTTGGTGAGTGAGTTTATCAGGAGTCAACCAAATGCAGATTAAATATAATCTAATACATAAAGAAATTTATATTTATATATATTTAAAAAATTTAAAAAATTAAGAGCACAAAAATTTCGGACTTAACAAGTGTGCGTCTACCCACACAGTATGTATATATATATATGACAATATTAATTTTAATTAATTCTTATTCTTTACGTAGTACTGACAACCTCCAACTCATAATTCCTACCCATTCTTCCTCTTTCTACTCCAAATCCTTTTCCGTACAAGCAGTTCGTTTGTGGAACTCACTCCCTACCTCTATACGGTGCGCTCAATCGTTGCCCATATTTAAAAACTTAGTTAAAGCCCACTACCTATCCTTATAATCACTTAGTCCTATGTATTTCCAGTTTTATGTGTATATATATATATATATATATATATATATATATATATATATATATATATATATATATATATATATATATATATATATATGTGTGTGTGTGTGTGTGTGTGTGTGTTAGTATGGTATATTTGTATGTATTTATGCGTATATATGTATGTATATATATTTGCATATGTATGTGTATGTATATATATGTTTATATTTGGATGTATGTGTTTATTTATGTATGTGTATATGACTATGCTGTCACAGATATTATTTTTTACAAATCTATTTCTTTTAACGCGCCACTTACCTACTTATGCTTTAATTCCTTCTACTCAAAGCTCGTCTGGAAGAGATTGCTTAGCAATAAGACCGCCTTTTGTACTACACTATACATATTGAAAATTGTTCAACAAATCCTGTTATGTAGGTGCAATAAAGTGTTAAATAAAAAAATAAAAAAAATTGTTTTAGATTCCAAGAGGTGCTGTCCAGTGAGGAGATGTCGTTCATAATGAGTTTTGTTTGCGCACTCAACAAGCGGACGCGTGTAGCGTTCACTACGAGGGAGGAAGCGATATTGAATCACCAGCTGCTGTCGTGCATGAAGCAAAGCAAGGACTTGTCCATCACATGTTCGTTTGACAATAATAACAAGTAAGTTAGTTGCTTAGAATTTATAAGCCTTAGACTTTCTACCTACCAGAGGGAGACTTTGTACAAAAGTCGATTGCTTTGGTACCTCTATCCCATTCGTGTTTCTACCGTGAAGCAGTTGTGTTTGCATGGCTGTATTTCGGTTTGAAGGGTGGGGTATGGCGTGAATTGACTGGGTATAGAGGAATAACACCTGAGTCCTCAGGAATGGCAACGCATGGGAGGTATCATGGGCGAAAAAGTATTCTTTGTTATGTCCATGGTACTGCTCATGTCTATAGGCGACGGTTACCACTTTCCATCAGGTGGGCCGTTAGCTTGTTTGCCATTCTAAGTTGTATATAAAAAAAAACCATCGTATGGCTCGCCATCGACAGGGAGTTCACCCTCATACCCTTTTTTTTTTTTTTTTTAACGTGAGGAAATCTTCCAAAGACCTTCCCAACTGCCGGAGGGAAGGCAGGGGGGGTGTGTGGGATTTTTACCCACTAAAACCTCACGACGTACCTCGAGGCGCATATGTCGGGTCCCCGGGTTCCCGAGTTGAAGACGACCGGAGCCCGACGCGACGGCCCACCCTGTAGATGTTGTAGGGCAGGCCACCTCTCGTGTTTAGGATGGGGAATGCCCTTCCCATCCTACCGTCTCAGGAGGCACACGGGTACGTGCGCACACCTCCTAGGGAACTAAGTGGGGTGTGCCTCCCTCAAGGCTGCACCCCGGCCCTAGTAGGGAGGGGGGGGGGGGAAGCGGAGTTGGGCGCGCCCCCTCTCCTTCGCCTGACTCGTCGGCGGCGCATGACGGGAGCGGTGGAGGCACTCTCACGCTCCCGCTCGGCTGCTTCCTTCTGCGACATCACCGCGTCACAGAAGGTGAGTACGGCTTTCCACGACCTCTCGCTACTGACCATTCTCCGAACTACATTCGGCAGCGAGAGGTCGTTCCCCACTTCCGCGACCAGAACGCGGCGCTCCGCGCTGAATGCGGGGCATTCTTCTAATATCACCCTCATACCCTACAGCCTAAATGGTTGCGTACAACGCGGTTTCAGAGATGTTTTCTCCCACGAACACTCAGGTTATGGAATGAGCTCCCTACCGAAGTTTTCCCAAGAGACTACAGCATGGGGTTCTTCAAACGGGGGGTAAAGAGGTTTCTTCAGGGTCGGCAACGCACGCGTAGTACCTCTGGTATTGCAGATGTTCATAGGCTACGGTAACCACTTACCATCAGGTGGGCCGTATGCTTGTTTGCCACCTCAGTGGTATAAAAACAAATGTAATTAATTATTAATTTTGTTTGTGTATATATTGTTAGTCTTTATTCATTAATTCATGCATACCAGTCCTTAACTGTCCACTGCTGAACATGAGCCTGCCCCTTGGGTGGTTTTGCCAGTAATTGCCACATTTGGCAGGCAGATTGGCAACCGCAGTCAGGTTTTAGAGATGTTTTAAGAGGTACGCTCCTGCCCATCCTTCGCCCTCCCTTAGTCGCCTCTTACGACACCCACGGAAAAAGAAGGGGTGGCCTATTCTATGCCTTCCGACATTTCCACGCCTTTCGCGCGATGTTCGCGCGACTCCAACGTTCGTTTATTTATTTTTCGGATTTCTTTCTGATGTATTTATAACAAAATGATTCTTTGATAACAACAATAATAACTTTTTCATTTACATCGTTTTTATTTCAGACGGGTGACGTTTGTTAGAGTGAAGCCGAAAGCGAACAAGTGGACGAAGCCACCGCACACTAAAGCCAGCCGATGCTTGTCGCCGTCATGCGTCGTAATACAAAGGGGGAAGGACGGCTCGTGGCCAGACACCATGCCGTCAGCGGCCGGCCTGCCGCGGTCGCAGAAAAAAATGAATTTCCGCATATTCTTATTGGTGAATATGCTGGAATTGTTAAACGCTGCCAACATAAGACAGAAGACCTTGTATTTTAATTGTAGCAGAAAAAAGAAGACATTCGCAAGAGAAGCGGCCACCATATTGAACGATGGTAACAAATCGCTCCGCAGTATAATAACGGTTTACGAGAATGACTTAGTAATGGATATAAGTGAATTCTATGGTCAAGTTTCCATCGATTTCGAGTTCATCCAGGCGCACAAGTGAGTATTTAATGGATTTGTTATTAAAAATAGATCAAATGCGAGTCGGATCCCTGCAGTGAGAGTTCCGTACAAATTATTTATTTATTTATTTCACACTATATTGCACCAAGTTAAAAAATAATAAATACAGTAAGTATTAATGAGAAGTGATACATAAGGTAAGCCTTATAGCTAAGCAATCTCTTCCAGACGACCTTAGGGTAGAGGACATTGCGAAAAAGACAAATGGTATATATTTATAGTTATTTATTGTATTTTTGTTATAAATTGATTTATGTCACTGCACAGTGTAAATTTATTTTATTATTAATATAAATTTTTTACTATAGGGGGAGACTTTGTACAAAAGTCGCTTGGTTGAACACCTCTGTCCCATTCGTGTTTGTACTGTGTAGCAGTTGTTTGCATGGCTGTGTTTCAGTTTGAAGGGTAGGATATGGTAGTGAATTTACAGGGTACAGAGAAATAACACTTGAGTCCTCAGGAACGGCAACGCTTCGGGGATATCATGGGCAAAATAGTATACTCTGTTATGTCCATGGTACTGCTTATGTCTTTTGTTGCCTAAGTAACGGTCACCACTTTCCATCAGGTGGGCCATCAGCTTTTCCATTCTAAGTTGCATAATATATATATATATATATATATATATATATATATATATATATATATATATATATATATATATATATTTGGGGGATTTTGACACTTAATGTTCTCTACCAGACAACCTCCTTTTTTGAAGTTGATTAAAAAAAAACTATTATAACCACACTCCAAGATGGCGAAACGTATCAAATAATATTAATAATAATACATAATATTTTTTTATTGCAGAAAATGTATTATGAAGAAAATTTTCAAAAAAAATGTAAACAATAATTCTGTTAAAAGTGACAAAGCGTGTCACAGTGAACGCAGACTCACAGACGAAACTGCCACATCAATGAACAGTTCCAATTCAGAAAGTAATCCAGAGACGAATTGCTCGTCCGTTTGTAGTGAAACTCTATCTCAAAACTCTTTACAAGATAGCTATCATAGCCCTAAAGTTCTCTTCCGTATAGGAGTGTTCAAGTCCTTTCTGGAATTAATGGAGAATGACGCACAAGAGCTGGTTGTGAGGTAATGTAAATCCTGTCCTATTACTAATTATTATATATTTGAAAGTTTGTTTGTTTGTTACTCAGGCCCGTAGCTAGACCCAAGTTTAAGGTAGGGCAAGAAAACTTTTTGCCAGAACAGGAACCATAATGAAGTGACTTCGAAAAAGCGAATCTGTCTGATTTTCTTGGGGCCTTTTATTTTAAGGCAAAGCATTGGGCCCTTTATGGTAGGGCATTGTGAATCCAGCCAGTCAGTCGACGCCAAACACGACCGCATGCGCACGCGCGCCTCGGTGGCGAGCGAGATTCAAGCGGTTTTTTTTTGTTAAACACTATTTTTTTCCATTAGTATTTTCAAAATTTTTGTTTATCACTTGATGCAAATAAAAAGTGTAAGTATATGTATATATTTATATATATATATATATATATATATATATATATATATATATATATATATATATATATATATATAAATCTATATATATCTTGCGTCTTATATGGGCGAATTTACCAATGATACTGCGTCCTACTGACTTATTGCGTCCGTATACCGGACGCAAGATTGATATGCTACAGACTCCTTATTGTTAGTATAACGTTTTACCAAAAAATTGGCATGGACGCTATTTGGTCACCTTATTGTAATTCGGCGTATTTTTTAGTTCCGCGGTTTGTCGCACAACATTTGGAGGGCGATACTGTGCGCCGTATATCGGCGCATCGTATATACAACTTTTTTTCTATACATTACTCCGCGAATGCCACTACCGTATATTATAGGCAATTTTCAAGTTTTTATCTGTCTAAATTCATTATTTAATTGCTTCCGTTAGTAAAATGTATATGGGAACGTATGACAAGGAGTAGAGACGGAGGGGAGGGGTAGCTGTCTTAATTCGCGCGTTGTAATGTTTATTTATTTAAGAGCGGTGTGGCATATATTTAGCGTATGCAAAGGTTATATACGTGAGTTTAGTAATATCAGGATGAATATTGGAAACGAAAATGAAAAGGAGTATGAGAATTTTACAATTATTGAAAGGTATATTTATATTAGTAAGTATACTTTATGTTAGAAAATTAAAGAAATTTTAAGGACATAATCCTACGTCCTTACCTACATACTAATACATATAATTTAGTTATCTTAAACATACAATAAAATCAAGACAGTTGCAGTAGTCGATTCGTCGTTATAAATCGCACGACCTCATCATGGTCATTGTTATTGATGTAGATAGATTTTTTAATAGAAATGACTTCAAAAGTTATTACAAACATTGTCTACTGTGGCCGTGGTATTCCACTCATTTTGTTTTAAATAAGACATGTTGTGTTTGTGACACAAAAATTACAAAAGATCTTGATTCGATTCCAAATCATTTCGTTTTATCTATGAATCGTGATGATATACTAAAGCTGTGTAATAGTTCTTTCTTTTGGTGTAATATTTGTCAATATGCAATTTACGATCACTACCCGGAAGACGAATGTTTTTGTACTTAAAAAGGTTACCTAACATATTTTATTTATAATCGCACAGAAATAATAGACATTCTTAGTATATTAAATATACTTTTGTGTTATTTAGTTATGTACTATTGCCTAATTTGATTTCGACGGTTACCACTTTCCATCTGCGTGGGATGGTGGGCTATCAGCTTGTTTGCCGTTCTAAGTTGTATAAAAAATTATCTTTTTTATTTTTAAAATAATGATTTCTATAAAAAAAATACCTTAATTTTAAAATTAAGATTAATTTTTTTAACAAAATCTTTTTGTTTTAGCCAATTGTTTTACACAATGTTATAACAATATATATATATTATATATTTATAAAAAAAGAGATTATAGTTACCTATAAAAAACTGAAACATATAATTTATCATCATTCATATATATATATAGTACCTATAGTATGGTGGGGTTCTTTATGGAAATAATTCATAAATTATTGCCAACCATCATTAATTTTAAACTGGTTACCTATCTATTCACATACAGCAATAACAAAATTTAAAACGCAGCAGATAGGTTATTTTTTTATTAAACCACATCGTCTTTTTGTTATAGGAAATGTCTGACTCAAGTAATTACATATAACTACACTCCGTCAGCACATGACGTAAGGAGACAATTTTTTTTTTATTTGAATTTTTAATACTTTCCATTTAGATTTTTCTATATTTTGTTATATCAGTCCTAATTCATTTAAGAAATATAATCTAAATATGAATTTAGATTATATTTCTTAATAAAAAATTTATTTTTTTAATTTTTCATACTAATTTTATTTATGTGAAAAACTCAACAAATGCTTTCTTATTTCGACTACATTTATAGAAGTATATTGTTCAATGTCATCAGTATTATCAACTGTACATTGTTCTATAAACCATGTATAATTATTTTATCATTTGTTCTTTTATAAAAGAAAAAATGTTCAATGTTAAATACTTTATTCTTATATTAAAAAATATCATTGAATTCTACTTTGTATTATGTTTCTCAAAAACATCATAATGATTAAATACATTAAATTTATGTATTAAAAATTAAAATGTATTTTTTGCAGACTATATGAATCATTCCTACAAGAGAACATGAACTGTCCCGTCATATTAGAAAGAAACATCCAAGAATCAACAAAAGATGTAGATAGTACTAGTCGTCATATTAGTAATAAAAATAATATTTCTTGCGGCGAAATAATTTCCATTGAGAGCTCTTCATGCAATAAAAATTATCCTTCGAAACAAGATGTAGTTATACACCTTAATAATAATGTTCTTGGAGACAGTAATAAAAATGAGATAGTAATACCTAATATGAAAATCCTTCAAAAAAAAAAGTAATCCGTAATAAAGACTTTTGTTTTTACTGCGAAACTTTAAAATTTTGCGAGACATTTACTAAGAAACCATGCTCTTGAAACAGAAGTACAAAAAATATTATCAGTACCTAAAAAAAGTATAACAAGAAAAAAACTTATTACGGAACTAAGAAAAAAAGGAAATTTTATACAAAATTCTGTCGAAGTGACGAAGCCCATGAGAAAACATAAATATACTAATTATTTACCTTGCACTAATTGCTTAGGATTTTATTCAAGAAATCTTTTATGGAAACATAATAAGAAGTGCACTGGAAAAAATACTAAAAATGTGCAATCAGAAGCACAAAATTTGTTAATAAAACATTTGAAAATCGATGAAAAACTTAAAGAAACCGTATTCCCCAGAATGAGACCTGATAAAATATCGTTTGTTGCTAAATCAGATTTGCTCATTTGTGCATTTGGGTCACAATATATGAAAAATCATAGAGAAATGCATTTTGTGAATGTAATTTCTAGAAAAATGAGAGAACTAGCTAAATTGTTAATTGAAATAAGAAAAAAAGATCAATCGGTGAAAGATTTATTAGGTGCACTTAATCCGAAATATTATGATCTTATAGTGTCAGCTACAAAGGTTGTAGGTAAATATGACTCGGAAAAAGATAGATTTGATTCGCCTACATTTGCAATGAATATTTCTACTAGCATAAAGCAGTGCTGCAATATAGCATTTATGCTTGCATTAAAAAAACAAGGGCCATATATGGAAGTAAACACTGCTGAAATAGAAGCGGGCCTCAAAACTTTGATACACCTTATAGATTCTAATTGGAAATATGATGTTTCAAGTCAGGCTGCGTCCGATCTAAACAAAAAAAAGTGGAATAAAGTTACCATAATACCTTTAGCAAATGATTTAAAAATTTTAAAAAAATTTCTTAACAAACACGCTGAAGAAGCTGCCAATAAAATTAAAGAAGGTTCTTATCATCTTGGGGTATATATACAATTATTAGAGACAATATATTGCAGAGTTTTGCTACTATATATATTACGCTACATAAAATGATATATATATATACGCTATATATTTTAGTAAAAACATTTAAACGAGTTGTTGTTAGAGGCAAACGAGGACGTGGGGTTCCCGTGTTATTTAGTAAAGAAGTTCAAGGTGATATAAAACTTCTGCTTACAATAAGGGACAAATTTGTTTCTACAACAAATAAATTACTGTTTGGGAACCCAGGATTTGAGAACTCGATATATGGGTATAAAGTTTTGGAAAGGTACTCGAGATTATCTGGAGCAAAAAATCCGAAAGCAATTTCTTCCACAAGACTGAGAAAACATTTAGCGACGCGCTACGTTCATGGGACATACTAATGAAGTTAATAAGAAATCGTATAGATTGCCAGATGATGTGTATCAAACTGCTAAAATTTCAAAACTTCTAATACTTATGGAAGATGGAAAAGCAGATGCTTATAGAGGAAAGGTTTAGATGAAATAGATTTAGATCTAAATGAAGAATTGCAGGAAGAAGAAAAAATTGTAAATGATGATATTTTAGATTTTGATTTACCCACACCACAATTGTCAGTTGAAAATTCTTGTGTACAACCTGGAATTTGGATTGAAAATAAAATATCTGAACCTAATCACCAGGTGATGACAATAACAGATAAAAGAATTGAAAAAGGGAAAAAGAGAAACTTAGTACC